TTGTTATATACCTGGATGACTGAGAAAACAAACTTTGTGTTTTTGAAACCATTAGTGAAAAGGCCAGACCTCAGGGGTATCTGAGGCAGGCTTGAAACACAAGAGTCAGGGTGGCTTCTGGGTAATACCAGATGGCTAGGCCTCAGACTGACGAAGCCTCTTGGATGAGGGGCGAAACGTTTCTTTTTTAACAAAAAAACGAAGTCCAGATGACATGATCTAACCTGAGACCCCTTTTTCTAAACCTAAACTTCTGACCTCTAACCTGCTATGTGGGGTACCTCAGGGCTCAGTGTTGGGACCTATTCTCTTTTTATTGTATATTTTCCCCCTCAGCCAAATAATAAGTCAGTTTTCAGATGTGTCTTATCATTTCTATGCTGATGATATTCAGCTATATTGTTCCTTCAGACCTTCTGAACATCGCAAATTGTCCTCCTTGTTAAACTGTATTAGCAATATCAAACAGTGGCTCAGTGACAACTTCCTGCAGGTTAACTGTGATAAAAATGAAACCTTGATTATTGCTCCTGACAATCAAACAACTGAAATTAAGCAACACCTTGGTGTATTAGCCTCTTCTGTCAAACCGTATCTCAGAAACCTTGGCATTATTTTTGATTCTGCCATGTCATTGCAATGCCATTCTCGTAGATTAATCAGAAATTGCTTTTTTCAACTAAGAAATATTTCTAGGCTTAAATCTCTTGTGCGAAAAGCCAAATTAGAGACGATTATTGATGCTTTTAGGCTGGATTATTGTAACAGTCTTGTACATGTTTTGTATTCTGTAAAGCACTTTGTGGTTTCTGACCTGTAAAAGGTGCTATATGAATAAAATTTACTTACTTACTTAACCCTAAACCAAAGCCTGACCACTGACCCTAAACTTAACCCGGGACCCCTGTCTCTAAACTTAGCCCTCGGACTTTTGTCTTTAAACCATTCCCTTACCATAACCCCACTCTTTGACCTTGAATTTAGCCCCGACTGCTAAGCCTAATACCGGACCCTGACAGGAATCCTGGACCCATCGCCCATGTAATACTCTCCCTACTCGAAACCCTTGGTGGAGTGAGGGCATAGTTAGATACCTGGGTGGGGTGGGGTTTGTGTAAGGGACCTGGCCCAGTGATGGACTGTGCACGAATTCTGTCGCCTCAAACATATTTAAAACAGACAAAAACAAGAGCAGGAAAATATTTTGTATACGGGAATAACAATTGAGCTTCCTGATCTGCTTTAATACATTTTAATTGTATTCCTCTGCTCCACTGAACTAAGCTGAATAAGTTGTACATGCAGACAACAACCTTCAAGCTAAAAAAATAAAAAGAAAGAAAAAGCTCAAAGAGACCCTGACACAAAACATCAGAAACAATGAGGCGGACTCAATGTCACAGAGTGACAAGAAAATCTGAAGTGATCTCTTTTGTGCACGAGCGTGTGTGCATGAGGCTTTGTGTCCTAAGAACAGTACAAATGATACTTGGGGTCAAAGGCTCAACAGTAGAGTTATAACTCTTGTAAGAAGTGCTGGACTGGGGACAGCCATGAGGAAATATATGTGTGTGTAGGTATAACAAGACAGAATATATGACAGGCATCATCAACAGCAGATTCAGTTCCTAATCACCACTCCAGGCTGCCTTTGCACCTCGTAACAATGACAAATGGATCAAACTGTTGCCTCTGGTCTGAGAACAGGAGCACCCGTTGAGCGGAGGACAAAGGTTTGAACTGCTCAGGGAGAGATTAAAAGCCTGGAGGTGCTCAGACATTCCCTTCTTCCCTGTAAAATGTCACTTCAGTAAAAATACCTCAAATCCCCAAAACTCCTGTTGTTAAATTATTCATTAATCTTTCAACCTTCGCCATTTAACAGCAGACCCTTGTGCACATTTAAATTTTGCTGCTTCTTTCAATGCTCCTCTCTTTGTGCTTTGGACTGTTCAACTACTCCCCTTTAATTCCAACATCCACTTTTCTCACTCGTTGCCTTTAAGTCTCAGTCCCTTGCCTTTTCAATCCCTCATTTCCTTTCCTCTTTTTTGTTTTCTTGGCCTGGACCCAGTGCAGAGTGATCCTATTGTTGTGTTTCTCCTCGTCTCTCAGGGGCAGCACTTCAGGGACCTGCTGATTGGATTAGAGCTTTCTATTCCCTCCGGGTGAATCGTGGAGCACACATGCAAATCGTCACCAGCGTGGAAAGCTGTGCAGTGGTTCACTGAAGACAACAATGCTGTCTGTCTACAGGTCAAATCCCAACCTGTGATATTCTGCAGCTTTTTTAACAGCTTCTAAAAGTTCATTTCCAAGTGTAAAGAATGGTGAAAAAGGCTGCCATAAAACTGGCTAAATCAGATCGATGTGGACATACATAAAGGCAGTTATAAATGTAAAGTGGAAAGAAAGGGTCAATTTAAAGACATCCCTGATGGAAACTCTCATGTGGCGTTTTAAAACCTAATCTGTAGAAATATACAAAACAAACTATATATTATACTTTACATTTATAACTGCCTTTATGTATGTCCACATCGATCTGATT